CGGGATTGTTAGCCGACGCTCGAGTCGCGTGCCAAGCGCCTTACGAAAAGCCCAAGAGCCGTCAGGAGGAAATCGACTGCGACCTCGCTCCTACTCGTTCGCTGAAGCCGATCTCGAAGCTATAAGCGCGGAACTAAGCGCGCAGTATTTAACGCGAACCAAGGAAAGTCGATACCGCGAAGGTTAATTAAAATGAAATTTAATCGCGATATCTCGAAGTTTTTATTAGCTCTCTAAATGCAGGGTGTTCTCCGCAAATTCAATGAGAGTTTAGTCCAGTATTTCGCAACGCTTCTCGATCGTACTACGCCAGCATTACGATACGATACTCAGCGGGAAGTAAACTGTAAGTGGATCGTCGAACTGATTGCCGATTTATCTCACAATCGCATTAAATCAATGGCGAAATCGGTCGTGCACACGGTGGAAGCGGAACGACGAGCATTTCGAAACGTTTCATATCGATGCGCAGAGATACGACGGAACAATAGAGGGGTTCTCTTTCTTTCTCTCTTTCTACGACTATGACTATCGGGCGTTTTTCGACGTTCACGCATACATCGAAACGCGCGCCTCTCCCTCGCGCCGATCGCGTTTGCGTTGTTTACCGGTGCGCGCGATATTGCTGGCGGACATGCTCCGGTGAACCGGATAAATGCCCGTAATTTATATCCGCGAAAGAATGGCGAAGTTAAAACAAACGCTATATTTTGTTGCTCGCGTGCATCGCGAGCCCGGCGTCTTCCAGACGCGGTACACATATATCGCCGCTTCTCGATCGGCGTATTAAGAGAGACGATGACGGCGACGCCCGCATATACGGAGCGTGTCCGATGAACATGTCATTCGCGGAACACGCCGCGCATCGATATACGTCAATGAGTCTCTCGCGAAACACCTGCGAATCATTAGCGTAGCTATTGTCTAAGTCACGCTCGTTAAATACGCAAGATTACTTCCGGAACGTCGATGGCGTAGCTGTTGCCTGCCTGCTCCGTTTTCGTCCTGCGGCCATCAGATCCCGTTCTAAGGGACATAAAGTTCAGAATTGTACATAATGACAGTTTACCGTTGTGACCTTAGGAGCTCGTTCATGAAAGCTTTTAAGAAGCAAAGATTTTAATGAAATATGATATTATTTTTATGGCATTAACATTTCGAAAAATCTGCTCACTTATAATTCGGCAGAATATTACCGTATCAATGTGACAGAACGAGATTGTTTCAGCCAGTCGCTCTGCTCCAACTAATTTTTTCCCAAACAGGAAATTGATTTTGGTGCTGGCGAACGCCAGCTGTCGTGGGCGCGGATGGCACGCAGGATAATTCGCACGGTCGAATAAACACGACACGTTATTACGTTACTGACAAGAAATTTCCCAAATTCTCTTCTTCTGAAAAATGTCCTTTGTTGAAAAATCAATTTTTTAAGTTTCTAATATCCGCGAATTTAATATAAAAATTATAATTACAATTAGAAACTGAAAACAGATTTTTGTTAAATATATATCTATTATATATGAAGAATATTAATATGAAACAAGAAGCTGGTTTCTGATTTACTCGAAAACAGGAAACAAAGAAGAATAGAAAAATGCGTGTAATGATCAGCATTTGCTTTACAGATCTATTAAGTTTTTTTTTTAACTTTATCAGAGGGCAAAGATTTGCGAACGTTTGTTGAAAGATCGCGTCGTCTCGATTACGAGGGTCGTCTCTCGCTGGGCGATAGGTGTCCGCAAGAGCTAATGCATTTCTAATGTTCCACGTGCTCGCGAGGGCATGAAAGTTACGGCATTTCGTCGACTCTTCCGCGCCCCAGGCCGTTTCATCCCCCATAGCTCGTCGCGCGGGGGGAGTACGCTTATATCGCGAGCGTCAGCGTTTTACGGGACGATTAAAAATTTATCCGGCGTCCGTTAGCGCAAAATTAACTCACTTCTGTCTGTCGGAAACGCGAGACGTCGTGTTTAGCCGGCGTAACGTTAATGGAGCAGCTAATATAAGCGGTGCACTTTCCGGCGAAATTGTTGCAAATTGGCGCGTATTACTGCATCACTTAACGACATTGAAAGATAAATATTCGGAATACGTGAGTAACTTGATTCCCTTTGGCCGGCTTTCAAGCAGTTGAAAACGTCGCAAACTGCGCTCTTCGTTGAAATATACTTGTAATAACATCGTTCAACGCGGAACCGACAAAGATATTATGCATCGGGAAAGTATTGTGCTTTCTCTGTTTGCTCGCTTTTGCAATGAATGCATTCGCTATTCATAGAATATTCTTGACTACGAAATACCTTTTTTTAAGTAATATTTCTTAAGCGGAAAATTTCACGATTGCTTGAATGATCACTGAAGACCTCGATGCATTAAATTTTCGCTAAATGGACGATATAATATTTTGTAAATAAAATCTATTCGTATTATAAATATATTTATCTAATAAACTTCTTTGCGATGTTTGCGAAACAAAAGAATCAGGAATGAGTCGCAAGGATAAAGATCGCAAATTTTTGCCGGAAAAGAATCGAGGGTATTCTTTTTGCCGCAGAGAGATCGGCGATTGGTATGCAATTTTTTCCTGGCACATTGCATACGTAATAGTCGCTGTTAACCTACTCAGAATTGGTCGTCGGCCAATGGCAATTCGGTATTGCGTATATAGGGAAGCGGGTCCGCAATTTCTCGATCGATTTCATCGTAGGAGGACGCCGAGCAGCCGGAAGTTCATTACCTCGGGCACTTGCCTTCTCGCCTCTACGGACAATGCCCCACGGTGCACGGCCCTTGGCCGTTCGCCAGTTTTGTCGTGCGTTTTTACGTTTTGATATTAGGCCAAATTCTTGCGGCGCGAGCGTCCATTTACGGACGCTTTCACTCCGACGGTGACGCGCGCGCTGCGTTTAAATATCATCGCACGGAAGTGGAAGAATCCCTGAGTGGAAAGTTCCGCGCGGAATTTGGAGCGAGTACCTCGGTTCAGGAAATTAGAGCGGATTTTCGGGTCGCCTGACACGGGGCTAGTTCTCATAAAATATTCGCAAAATATTCTCGGCAAAAATTAAATGCGATTGCATCACCACCGAATTGACATTACAGTTACAGAATTGCGATAAAAAGAAATAAAAATGAAATCTTTGTAGCTGCAGGATATTTATTTATTTGTTTTAAACGTAAGATGCAAAAGCAGTAGAGGATTATGTTTGCGGAAGATTGCTTGAAGGAGAACGCCCGCGCCGTCGAGTTACATCTCTTTTGTATTATATACCGAAAACATTCTCTCACGGCTTCCCTTGCAGGAGAAGTTTTCTTTGCACAAGAGGAATAAAATCGTGATTCCCGGGTACAACCGACATAAAAGCTGCAACAAATGCCTTCCTAAGTGCCACTCCGTTGGGCACCGTTGTAATTCTTTAAGCGGGAGAAGGCTTATATCTTATAGGAAAATCCTTACGACGGGAGAAGCGGCGCCGGGACGATCGATACGGAACGCGGGACAATAAAGCGCACAGCGCGTTTCTCACGTCCGGTTTCTGTTTCCCTCTCGGGTTTCAAGAATTGATTTTGTCTCGGCTGTCCTCGTCGCCTTAGGTTGCGCAAGCCTAAAGGTATTATCGAGAGTGTTTCTCGGCACACGCTAAGCGGAGACTAATGATGACAGTCAAACAAACGAGTCGTCGAGCGAAATGGTTATGTGTGAATCAACAAAAATAAAATTCCTGCATATATTAGCATTGTTGCAGCGAAGTATTTTCACGCAAATTTATTCTAATACACACTTACGAATATTTATTAATTATTAAAATTATATATTCGCAACATTATTTTTTATATCTTTGCGCGCGAAAAATATTCTTCACGTACGTTTAATAACGGGTTAAGGATTGAAAATCAAGCGGTAGCTTGTAAGACGGTGGCAAATATTATTTATAGATCAAGCAGTTTGCAGTAGCAATAAATATATCTCAATTACTGTATAAGGACGTGACAAACGTCCGAGGGATTTCTGAACGTAATAACGCGTCGGCGTGTGTCGGCGGAACGTGCCTTTACTTTTCATTCCGCTGCGCACTTCTTCATTTCTATCTCTGCATATTACGTTACCAAGCTGATAACAGAATTATGCGTATAAACGATACGGCACTTGCCGCGTCACACGTCGTCCGAGTCCGTCTCTTCTTTCATCGGCGCGCCTAACGTCCGTTGTTCGCGCAATAACCGTTCTTTGTACAACAATAAATTTCGCGATAAATCTCTATTATTTCGTGCGCTGTTGACAGAGAGAATCGTGATCGTTTCGTCTTCAAAAAAAAAAAAGAGGAAAGAAAGAAAAAAACGCTCATTGACACAGTGACACGATTGACACGGCCCCTAAAGGGTGAGAACGTTGGTAACTCGGCGCCCCACCGCGCACCCTCTTTTTACCTCCCTCGTGTGCACTAGGGGTACGTACGCCTCTCTACACACCGCTCTTTCTCTCTCTTTCGTTCCACATCGACGTATCATTAAGCTGTTCACCCTCGTTTTTATTTGAGTCGCTCGGAGCTCACCCTTGGCTCGAGAGAATGCACGCTGCAATCGTCGGCGGCCACCCCTCGCGACGAACAAAAAAATAATATCGCGCTCGACTGAACTAACATTTTCCGCCATCGCGCTGCATCCACGTGACGTGGCGACTCACCTTCAATTTAGAGCCGATCGACTGCCGAAATCGTTGGATAATAGATATTTCTCTGCGCGAAATTATTGTCTCCATTTTTTAATTCGTGTAGATAGAGACGCTACTAATTATCTGTTTACAAAAAACTTATTTGCGCAGATGATGCATTTTGTACTTCTACGATATAAATACTGCAATCAATATTTTTCTATATGAAACTGTGTGATAAAAACAAATAATTTTAAGATGTAAAGTTTTGACTTGCATTAGATAAGAATTTCACAATCAGTTGCGTCGTATGAAATATCTAAGACATCGTGTTCTCTCAATTGTTCAGAGTGGTGAAGACGCAGAGAACGCAACGGCCGCCGCGAGCAGTCCGGTGGAGGAGAAGTCAGCAGCGAGCAGTCCATCGGCGGACGAGCAGGTAGCCGCGCCGACAGCAGCAGCCGCGGCCGAGCCGAAGGAAGAGGCTGCCGCATCGTCGCCAGCAGTAACAGCCGCCGTCGCCGCTAGCCCGGTCGAGGAAAAGAAAAAGGAACCCACTCCCTCCGCCCCCACTCCCGTCCCGTCCGTCGAGGATAAGAAAGAGGAGGCGGTCGAAAAAGTCGAGGCCGAGAAAAAAATAGTTGAGGTCAGTCAGTCAGCCGGCGGTCACCCCGTAACGGACCCGGTAGAGATTCCCGTCTACCGTGTCCAACCAGTCGCGACGCCGTCTATCATTGAGAGGAAAGCCAGTGAGGACCTCCTGTCCCCGCCCCCGTCCAGTCCACCACCGACCCCGATAGATCCATCGCCCTTGCAGCAGGCTCGGCAGGCCGCGGCAAACGCCACAGCTCTGGCCGAGGCGCTCAAGCTGCCTGCCGTGGCTGCCGACGAGGAGGAATCGACGCCGGCACCAACGTCCGACGTCGCGTACCCGTCGTCCCGCGAGGATGTTCTTCCCCAAGAGAGCCGCGCAAGCGAATCCATCACCACCGCTATCGCGTCCCTGACATCACTTGATTCCTCTACTCCCGACAACTTACCCCCGACGAAAGCGACCTTTGTCCTCGCGGAAGTAAAGTGTCTGCCGGTGGTAGAGGTTGAGATCGAAGTCGAGACATCTCAAGATGTGAAAAAGGTAGGGGAGACGTTAGGGAGTAGCCGTGATAATAAAGAAACTGAGACCGAGCTGAAAGTAGAGGGCAATGTCGCGATGAAGGAGTGTCAGAAAAGTGAGGCGAATAGGGCGAAGGAAACTCTGCCACTAGCGACGCAGTGCGATAGTAAAAGTACACCGAGTAAAGGTGCGGAGGAAGTTCCTGACGTTGTTGCGACGGCTAAAGTTATGAATGAGGCTTTATCGGACGTGGAGTGTCAAACAAAGAGCGAGATAAATAGCTGTGAAGTTCCAATGAAGATAAACGTATTGCCTGATGCCGGATATAATGAAAAAGTCGACGCTGAAATGTTATCGTCGGCTGAGATTGAAACAAAAGGCGCCTGCCCGGCGGTAAAGCAATATTTATCGTCTGAAAATATGGGGAGTCCACCGAATAAGACGCAGCACGTAGAATCAATTGAGAAAGCATCAGACTCGGATCTACCTTTGGTTGAAAAATGTGTGTCTATTGACGCGGAGGAATCGTCAGAAGTCAGTTCTGCATCCTTTGCAAAGTTGATTGAAAGCCCATCTAGGGAGCAGTCGTCGGCAGTTGTGGAACAATCGAGTGGAATACCGGTCGTATATGAACACGATTACGCGAAATATGTGCCAAAGGAAATCAAGGAAGAAGAAGGATCGATTGAATTATACATAAATTCCGAAGAGGGTCCACTGTCAGTTTCGGATGATATTTTAGTAGAAGCCAAGCCAGCGCTGATCATTCCGGAAGATGATAGCGTGGAGGAGCTTACCGACACCACCGAATCTGTCAAAGTAATCCCCGAGACCGACGAGGAGAAACTGGAAAATGAGCTTGAATCGGACACTGCATTGCCCACGGAAGACACTCTGATCTCAGAAAAACTAGAGGACATGTTTGTCCCAGAACACACGACAATTGAGCCATTAAACGAATTCGTTGGCGTGTCTAATAGTCATATGAGAAATGAAATTGGAAATACGCTACCATGTCCGCCTGAAAATTTAACTGCATTCTGCTCTCAAATATCCGAGCTTCAAAACACAAGTGCAATCGAGACAGAACCGTTTATAACATCCTCCTCGCGAATTGAGCAAACCGAGGATATAAAAAAACATACTCTTTCATCGGAGGATCGCGTAACATCGCCGAAATTCTATCCCTTAGACGATTTGGAGTCGACGCATCGTTTGCCGTCACTGCTCTCAGACGTTTCGACATGTTCCCTCTCAGAAAAGCACTCGAGTGAGCCTCAGACGCTAGTACTCTCCCCCGAACCCGAAAGCGTGCCAATCTCTTTGGAAGATCTACCCCCGGCGCCTGAAGACACGGGAACACAAAGCTTAGATTCTTTTGATTATCCTTTACCACCGGAAGAACTCTCTTGTCCATTATTATTGATTCCTCCCCAGACCATGTCTGTAGCCGATCTACCACCAGCTCCCGTCGAGCACGCGGCCAGCCCGAGAGACCCGACAGAGACGCTCCTCACACCGCCCATAAGTCCTAACTTCCAACGATCCAATACCACACCCGGCATCGCGACAGAAACCGCCACGATAGATCGCTCGCAAATTCCTTCGTTTTGTGAGAACGACAGCAGCAATCGTGAGCAATCGATGTTGCTGAGCGAACCGCTGACGATGTCATGTAATCAATCAGACGTTGAGTTGAAGGAGAGACTGGCGGCCGAGTGTGTAGCGAAGACCGAAAGCCAGGAAGAGGCCTTGTCGTGTCAGTTGTCGAACTCCATCCCGTCGACTGCCACCAAGGAGCATCACCAGGTGACTAACATGCAACACAACCTCCTGGCATGAATGCGGCCGGCCAAAGTTCTTTGGCGGACGCCTCGTTCCACGTATATCTTCGTCGTACGGTTCGCACAGTACTGTTTCTGTGGTCTTATAGCCTGAAAATATTGGCTTCCCCCCCCCCTGATTTCCACACTCTTCCCAGAATCCCTCCAGTGCTCTCTGTTCAGAAATTATTGACACGTACTTTGAACTTGGAAAAACTCTCGCTTTCGTTCTTCTCCCTCTTCCCTCCCCGTATCCAGCGAACAGCCTCGCCTTTCCGTTCTCTCGACGAAGGGTAACATCGAGTGACATGAGACTGACAGTTACGTACGGCGGAGACCTTGCACAATTCTCGTCTCGAGAACAAAATTATACTTTGCCGTTTGGGTGTGCCGATGCACGACCGGAGCCGGTCAGTCCTCAGAGAGTCCGCTGAAGTCCATTTTCCGTCCCGATGCGTCCCCGTTGTGTTTCAAGGGTCTCGTCTCGTGTGCATCCTTCGTTCTGCCGAACGTGATTAACACAAGCCTTACTCTGCTATTCGATGTCCTCCGATGCTTCCGCCCATCTCTCCGTCTTATAAAAGTCCATATTTATATATTATATATATTACCACACTACCACAATTGCCACCTGTGTTGTTTGCCTCTTGGTTTTCTTGACAATATTAACATGACCTTTCGATTAAAATCGATGCGTTGCAGTAGAGTACTTTTTACGGCGCGGCGAATAGCGGAATAACCATTCGCGCTGCCGCGCCAGTTAATGTCATTTCCGTAGATTTTGTGTATCTTTTTCCATATCGAACGCTCTCTTATACTAATAATATAACATAGACGCTCGAATATGTTAGAGGTACCTCTAGCGTGAATCTCATTGATAGACGTAAAAGCAGTTGGACTAATGACACGCCCGTGGTAGCTGGCGTTTTAGATTTTTTTAATAGACGTGCTCATTAGAAGAGCTCGATACTTTGCTGTCGTGCTGTTCTCGTAATTGCATCTGTTGTGTCGTAAGCATCTTGTAACTTGCGCATGCCGAGTTTCCTTATCTAAGGGGTTCGTCAGCGGGATTTTCAATTCTTTGCGCTGCCCGAAGCATGACGAAACGATTCTGCTGAGGCATTTCGTCGTCGCACGTTGCGCTTCAAGCGAGGAGGTAATAGTCATCGCGATTGTCCAGGCGCACTGCTAAGGCTGGCCAAACTTGAAATACGTTTTAACGCGTATTTTTATATCAATTATACTTTTATTGTTAGTAACAATTTACCTAGAACATTCCGTCAACTTTATTTCCATTTGTTTTATTATATATTATAAATTATTGCTATATAAAAACTGCTACTAGTTTTTTTTACATATATATGTATATACATGAAAAATTCTATTTTGAGTTCTCTTGTTGAGCAATCTCAGAATAGTTGTTATCTCCTACTTGAACTGCAATATATGCAACATAATTATCTCGTGATTTATTTGTGACACTCATTTGAACCTGATGATTCGCAAGAAGGGAAGAGATTTTGTTTTATGAACGAAAACTGTTCGGCAGAATCGGTCTTACGTCCTTTGTTCTCGTTACAGCATGCTCTGGGATTTGGACTTGAAGAAAGAGAGCGCGAGAAAAATGATAAATGAACGAAACACATGATGACGATAGCGTAACAAGGAGATTTGTATTTTACAGAACGCTCCGGAAGTCGAGGCACCGGTAGAAAACAACGTCGCCCATGATGTTAGCACGACGGAAAGCGCCGATGAGCCCCCTAAAGTTGCACCTCCGGCTATCCCAACCGAGGCACCCGCCTCCCCGCCAACAGCACCAGCTATCACCGAGGATGTCGCCTCGGTCACCAAGGTATACATATATATTTTTTTTTCTTTCAGTCTAGTCGCAGTCTGAAGATTATAATCACGTACGCTACGTCTGCGCTATTATTAGCCTGGAGTGAGTCATTGTCGATGATACGCGGGATAGCATCGATCGATCCTTTCGAGTACAGTGTGCGAGGAGAGTCTCAACAGCTCTCGGCTCTTTATTCGCTTAATGATTGGAGATTTTACTTATGCACGTTATATAAAGTGCTTTAATGAGAAATTTAAAAGATGATAGAGATAGAATGACAATATTGTTGTTAAATTATACAATTATATTATGAAGGGTATAATTTCCGAGACAATCGTAAAACTTTTGTCTTGGAAAGAGCCTCAATCTCGGAAAAAGTATCTGTTCCTAATAAATTCTAACTATTAACGTTTTATCAACAATTTGCAAAATAAGGAATAAAACATAATAGTATGTCTCGACGATTATCGGATAAAATTTCTTAGCTGCTTTAAATAATTTGGAATACTTAGCAATTTTGATGTGACTCAAGTATTGTACATGCATGATGATCGCCAAGAGATCATTTATGCTCGACGAGTGTAAATGATTCTGAAGGTCATTATCGAATATACTGACCGACGAAGATTAATGAGCGAGGGGCCATCTGATCATTAATACTGCGATTGCACCTTCTTACAGTGACTAAGCAGTCATAAACGCTATTAATGCTTTTATTTTCTTTCTCTCTAAAGGCCATCGAGGAGATCGACATAAGTGATAAAGCAGTCGCGGCGGCAGTGAACGAAGCTATCGAATGCAACACGAATGTAAGTTCAATTAATTTGAATTAGAATTAATTAGAAACACGAATATAAGTGTTCTCAAATGGACAAGACCATTAATTTTTTCTTTTTTTTTTTCAGGAAATCATCGCTGACGCGCACCACCAAAACAACATAAACGAATAAGCGCCACTAATCGAATTGTATTTTGGAAAGAAGAAAGTTCTTTTCTCTCGTTAAAACCAAAAAAGTATATTATATAGATATGTATATTTGGACCATTCCTGCAACAGAAAATAACGTTCTTTCGTTACGAGCAGCAAAAGGGGAAAACAGGGCGATGACGACGATGACGATGACGATGACAACGACCGCGGCATCGCGAGAGCATATTAGACTCTATAGTAGGCCTATTAATTATTAGACGGTGTTTAACGGCAGGACAAACGAGAATACGTGCGTGAAAGTCTATGATCATTTATTTAAGAACTGTTTACGTTCACTACGAGATCATACATTGCATGAACATATGATTCTGAAGAAGCGCATATAACGTTCGTGCACGGTCTCTTTCACGGATTAAACGACGCTCGTTTCATTCCTTGTGGCACGCGGAAAGGGCTTTAAAAGCATCGGAATACTTTCGGGCCGTGTCCAGCCGCGGGTTACAACGATCGTCCCTGCTGCGTAGAAATTTTTAAAGTATCATTAACTGTTACTGAAGTAAAGTCTAATGCTCGAACATCGCGCGACGGACAAGCGATAGAAGCGATTAATTAAGATCGTCAAGACGATAGGGCGAGAATCGTTCGTCGCGCATTCCAGAGGAAATACTCATTGGATGGCGCCCTCCCGTAATTACATAACTATTGTACTCTATGAGAGCGAAAGAGTGTGAACGAGAATGAACGTGAGACCGAAAGAAAGGGAGAGTATGAGAGAGAATGAAAGAAAAAGAGAGAAAGAGAAAGCCGAAATATAGAGGAGGAAATCGAGAGGGCAGGCTGTGTGTGATATAGCGATTGACGGTGTGAAAGGGGAAAGAGAATGATAGCGCGCGAAACGAGAGATGGGGATGCGTCTTCGCCACGATGAGAACAGGAAAAAGATGGAAATACGCGAGCGAGAGAAAACTGAAAGCAGAAGCGGGCAGGAGATTATTCACGCGACACGCGACAAAGTTTCGTACGAATAAGATATCGCGCTCACATCGACGATCTCGAGGGCACCCGGCATATTGTTTCGCTCGTATTTCCTTCGCGGTCCTTGGTTTTCCTTTTTCCGTTTTACATCTGTACAATCGAGACGTTTTACGTTGTAACGAGGAACTGCACATTTTTAACATATAATTTTGATAGGCGCGCGCGCGCACAAAAGCGCTTGCGAGAACACGAGGAGAGACACATTATACACCAACACACGCAAAGAGGACATTTTACACCGCGTATACGTATATACGTACCATGGAACATACGAGATAAAGTATATACAGTAAGTCGAAAAAAAAAAAAACGAGATGTAAGTGATATATTAATCTAGACTATAGAGAGAATGCGTTTGTGTAAATTCGGCGTTTGTTCGAAACATTGCTACTTCTCCATACGAGAGAGAACACTTATGACGAAGCCTATCGTAATTTTTATGATAATCATTAAAAAAGTATCGCCTAATTACAATTTACGAGATATGCACAATTTACCACCCCGGAACGGTACCTTTGTCAAGTTTTCATACGATGTTTCTACGTTTCTACGTTTATACGGATCTCCAGAAGTAAAAGAGTAATTGTCTTACGAGAAGCTTTTTTTATCAAGATCGTAGCATAGATCATAAAATTGTAAACGAGAAGCGCATTATAGCACGTGTGAACACGCTCCGATATCCGGTAATATCGCCGAGCGATAGAGAGGATAAGGATCGAGTCTTTAACTCGTATCCGTGACCGGCATTAATTTCTAAGCGGTTACATACATATTTACGTGTAAGGGCGGGAAAGAAGTAAAGTTAAAAGTTGTATAGTAAAACCATTCATTAAATATATCTGTCCGTAAAAATGATCTTTACAACGAAAAGAAAAAAAAAGGAATTCATCGTCTTCTTGTTAGGACGACACGTTTTGGCGACGAGAGCGAACTTTTTATCGAAATTCTTCACGAGCGAACCGAGACTGATGATAACCCGTACACCCGTAACATTCTCTAGTGATTGTTATCACTCTGAGGCGTTGTCGAGGCAAACTCGTTTATTTATTTTGCGCCGGAGACTACCAAAATTGTGAATGAGACCTTTGAATCGAAACCGCCTCAGACGCGAAAGTACAGTCTCCAGTATCTTCGATCAGCAGTTATAATAGTAATTAAACTATTCTACATTTATCTATAACCTATAATAAACTGTGAAACAAAGTATATCAGCGGCGAGTATTTATTTCATCTCGGATCCTGTGTTCTGCATATTATAACTTACAATTAGTACTAATATACAGGAGTTATATACATTTATATATATACATTTCTTTTTTCTTTATAAAAATATCAAAACCTATTACACTAGCCTTTCTAGACTGTTTATCATCGTATCTAGCTCGTCTTTATTCAGTTCCAAATTTATAATGCGTCGAGATTCCTTATCTTCTACTGTGAGATCTAACTGAAGGAGAGATTCTCTTAACGAGGCCATTTTGCTTGAACCCATCACCAACTATAAAGAAATATAACGAAGCGATTAAAGCCAAGGGTAAATATAGAGATCAATTAATGAATGCAGTCATTGATAAAATGATGGTTTAATACCTTCAATCTCCAATCATGATCGATTACGGTAGGTAGTTTCCTTTTGTAATGATCCCTCAATAAAGCGTTTGTCAGTTGTTCTCTACGCACTTTTAAGCAAGTAAGAATGTTCTGTTGCACTTGCTCCGGTAACTCGTGATATTCTGGCGGCATCTAGAAAACGATAATTTTCCAGTAAAAGGACGATGGGTAAAATAGACCGATTTCTGCCTAAAAAGTGTAACGTAAATATATATGTGTAATCTCATATGTTTTTTGGATCGCTGAATACGATGATAGCATTTTTATCCGTATAAATGGGAAAATGCTCAAAATTCGCCTTAACGGGATTGAAATAAATCCCTTTTAATATTAATTCGGTTAATGACGATTTTCCACTTATTTAATTACTTGTAGACTTGTATTATAGTTTAGTTTTATAATTTTTTGTACTAAAAACTAAGGCAATACTTCAAAATAAAGTAATTCAGAAATACTAAATCTGACACAGAATCAATATTTTAATTTATATTATAATATAAAAATTAAAAAAGATAGTCAATGCCTCATTCTCAAAGAATCTTAAGTCTCATCAGATGTGTATACACGTTGTACAGTTTTAAAGATGTTAAAATGATAGACTTTTATACCTAGAGGCATATTAGGTTTTTAAAGGTAGACCTTCGCCTGGAGCCCTATTGTACTTTTCGTATTATATTGTATAGAATGTATAGTATAGCGTTTCGTAAATTCATTCATTGTCATCAGAGTCTGAAAAGGCTTCGACATAATAGTTATTTGTGTAACAAGTGCTGTAAGATGAAAATTCCTGGGTGCGGTAACCGTACCCGGGAATTTTCATCTTTACACACGACTTACACTCCCTATTTTATGTTGCAAGTGCCTGGAAAGTGGTCTATCACGCACGCGTAGCGTGCGTAATGGGGCACTTTCCATGCACGTGTGGCATAAAAGATATTTAAATATTCACCAGGAATAGATATTGAATCCAAATAACGAGCATGAGCAAAAAACCAGAGGACCATTGATTATTGTTACATCTGAGTAGCAGTCTACTACACGAGTACCAAGTTACGTTACACTTTTTAGACAGAAATTGGCCTATTTTACCCTTCGCCCTTTACTCTAAGAATTCAAAAGAGTTTAAGTGTAGAGTTATATTACATAAGTTATGTTGTAGTATAATTAACGATAAGACATAACAGTTAAATTTTCAGCAGAGTCACACCTTTTCTTCCACCATATAGAGAGAGGCAGGATTCCGCAGCAGTGACGATATTAGCTTGTACACTCCTTCGTACTCCGCTCTGGTCCAATCCATACTGTTGACGAATTGTCGATACGATGGTCCTGGGCGACCACAGATCTCGTCGACGCACGCATGCAACAACTTAACACGAAATAAGATAAATCAGATGATTATCAGACGAAAGCAAGTATGTTATTGCATTACCGACCTCCTTCAAGACGTCGTTCTTCTCTTCGCTGAAGAGGCTGATGTACAACGACTGAGTGCTGCTCTCCATGACTGGTTCTCCTCAACGCGCGTTTCTTTCACTTCGACAACGTCAATGTCAATGTCATCACGCGAAAATAAATTACAATTTAAATTCTGGAAATTTGATAAACCTTATAATTACGTTGCACCTCGTGTGACTTTGGTCGACGGAAGACTCTTTCAGTCGAACGCAATTTCTGAATGCACGCCTAGAATGCACTTTTTTTTTTAAAGGTTCGGAATAGGCACGTTCCTATCGACGTATTTATAACTGGAGGTGCCACTGGAGCCAGGAGCCGCTCCAGGCTCCAGTTTGAGAATGCACTTTTTTTTTATTCAAATTGAGAATGCACCTTTTTTTTGTGTTGTATCTCTCGGATGAGGGAAAATATGTGCCTTCAACCCATGGTGTAAGGATTACATGGTGTGCTCAATTGCCTGGGGGGATTCGGGTAATGACGTCACTCGTGTCGAATTGTGTAAACAGAGTAGCCAACGTCTAGAAGTAAAACATTTTTGGTGTTGTAATATTGGCACATGTTCATGCATCGTCACACTCATGCCGCTTATGCCACTCAGAAGTACGGTACATTGTTTTGTGTTAAACAGTGGGTCTGTTTGCGTTGCGACAATATATAAATTTAAAATAAAAATGGTGCGGTGTATTGTTAAAAGTTGTAGGAATAAAACAACGGGGGTTTGTGAGGAAACTGTGAATTTTTTTCAGCTACCGAAAAATGAAGTGATGCGGGAAGGATGGCTGAAAAAAAAGGAGGCTATGTTTTACCACCAAAAGTTGAATTTGGTAAGTTTGATATTGTACATAAACGTGCAAAAGTATATTAATTGAAAAATAAAATGAATAAAAAATAATATTTTTTAGTTACTAATATAACCTCAAATTTTGTATTTACAAATGGAGTAAAAATGTCATAAAATGTTATTAATATGAACAGAAAATAATAAAAACAAATTAGCACTTCGTTCATGTATATAAGTAAAAATATTTTACAATTCAAAATATGAAAATCTTTAATTTGAAATAAAAATTATAAAGCCATATTTAATACAATGTATTAAGTTTTATTATTTATACATTATATTATTTTCAGCAAGGATATGCTCGGTTCATTTTAGTCAAGAGTCCTTTCATCAAGGTCGAGCACGGAAAGACCCTGTTAAGAAACGTCACCTACTACCATCGGCTGTGCCAACGTTATTTTTGAATTGTTCAGAAGCTCCAAATGTAAACAAGTAAGTATATAAAAACACATACACATTTGTATTTGTAATGTGGTGTTATGTAATTATATAAATGTACTTTTTTACAAGGAATGCGGTGGCTGAGTACAAAGATTCTTTACCTGATGAAGTTTTATTGTGTCTGGTGAGAACACGTACGTACATACGAATAAAAGAAAATGCCAAAAAATCGTATGTAAACAGAGAGAGAAGAAAAAAGGAGAAGAAAATGAAGAAACTAGTGTCGTAAATTAAACTAATGTTGTCATTGCACGAGTATAATGTATATGTAATGTATAATGTAATGTGTATAATGTAATGTATATATAATCATACTCTTTCTGCAAATCTATATATATATATATATATATATATATATACATACAACGGAATAATATTTAATTAATAGCAAGTTTGTTTGTGTCTAAAATGTACTTACCTGCGTACTCTAACATTACTGAAAGAATGTGTCAAAATTATATTTATATAAACTTAATATTAAATTTCTTGTTATTAAACATTTTCAACTACCTTTTTTCAGAAGAAAAGTCCAATTACAAATAAAAGTTGTTATACTAATTATTTTTGCTTCTTTGCATTTCTTTTCACAAACATTAATCACTTCTCTCTCTTCAAAAATATCAGTAATAATATTTTAAATGTAAAAGGTGTGACAAATTTTTTTCCAAAGATCTGATTTTCGTGTATCGACTTTCCTTTTAAGCGGTTTATTAATGTACCACCTTGTGTTGTAAACAATTAATTTTAAATAGGTACAATTATTGAAACAGAAATTAGAAATGTAATCAAGAATAATGAATAAAAAAAATACATGAAATTGGAATAATTAATAAATTATATTAAATTTCAATAATTTAATTTTTTGTTGATTATGTATACCTATAATTAGTTATATTATACTTCGCCAATACATATTTTTAAACGCCAATTTCATATAAAATTAATAATTGTTATGTTACTTTTACGGGCAACAAATAATTAATAAAAAAAAAACAATTGATTCGAACGTATGACCCCTGCATTCAAAAGTTATCGCCACATCCTTTGAGCCAGTAAGATACTAGAGTGCTTTTATACTTAATATATACATTATCATCGGGCAGAAGGTTAGGCTTTATTCATGCCATTAATCGAAGACAATAATTCTGTCTTTTTGCGTTAATTCATTCAAAACCAGCAAAGGAAAAAATAGAAGCATTAAAACATTCGAAAAAAGGAAGTATTGCAATTTTAATACTATTACATTCTTTGTACATGAGGTTTTACAAGTATTATTTTTTTTAATTTTCTTTAATACTTTTCCATTTGTTGAGAAATCATTGAAGCCCTAAACAATAATACTTTTCAATAATTTCTAATAAATACAACGTATCTTCAAATATCATTCATCGTTGCAATACATTTTCAGGAGGCAGTTTGCAACATAATCCGTTCAAATTTCCTATTTCCTAGTTACTTTTAGTGGTGGTACCACTGCTTACACAATTCGACGTGAGCGGCAGAGAGAGAAACGATTTTAGAGAAAGAAAGACACCAATTGAGCACACCATGTAATCCTTACACCATGCTTCAACCTCTCCTTGAGGCTATATAACACAGCCAGAGAGAAGGATGAGAGTTGAGACTGTTGCTCGCGCAATGACGGCTGATGGCAGTGACGGCGATTTTCTTGGGACTTGAGTTGGGACGCTTTTGCTAGTCTAGAGTTGGTCAAGGAACTTGATAAACTCTAGACGGGAATGCGAGATAAAAATTTGATTGGCAAGCTTTCACGTCGCGTTGAGTTCTGATACTTCACGTCACGTTACGTAAATTCGACTAGTAAATTCTGAAAAGTTGCCAAGTGGATCAGCTTCTAAAACTAATGTATATAAGTAGAGGCAATTGGTTAAAGCAGAGAATACAATGTATCAACTAATAAGTTGTCAATTTCTTACTTACCGACATCAAACTATTGTAAATATTAATTATAAACAAACGGAACATGAGCGACGATTTTCCTTTTCAGAATCTTTTTTCGACCCAAAATACACAAAATAAAAAAGTTTCAACAAATCGGAGAGGTTGGCGCTATACTGCATATTTACCATGTATTTTCCGAGTAAACGCGTAACCAATTAGAAGCGTTTCGCATTTTTGGTTATGCATATTCGCGCTTCTGATTGGTTACATGGTTACGCGTTAAGCGGGGAGCATACACTTCTGCACAACGCATAATGCGTAAGCATAAGAAAATTGATTGGTCTGTTTCCTTATGCACATGTGTATGGACCAATCAATTTTCTTACGCTTACGCATTATGCGTTGTGCCGAAGTGTGTGCTTCCCGCTTTACGCGGAAAATACATGCCATGGGACTCCAGCCTCAAGCGCTGGACACACGAATCGACGGAAGACGTAAGACGTAAATCGATTTATGCCGGGATTACGATGAATTTAACGTAACGGAACGCGACGGACGCGAAGTAACGTAACGTGAACTTAAGAAATTACGATCGCCGTAACGTGAAGCAGCGTGCATTTGAAAAATGATTTGACAGCGTGGTGTGAATAGAAATAGACATCTATCGACATCTATAGACGTCGAAAAGACGCTAGCATTCCGGCTGGGTATTTTATTACACTAGTTCAGAAGTGCAGAGAAAACAAACAAGCCTTAGGGCCAAAGCACATAACATGGCGTAGCGATATACGACGGTCGTAGACTTCGACCTGACAGATCAGGATACGCCAAAGCTTGTGCGTTAGGGCCAAAGCACATAACATGGCGTAGCGATATACGACGGTCGTAAACCCCGACCTGACAGATCAGGATACGCCAAAGCTTGTGCGTTACTTACGTCCACGACTACGACTGTCATATGTGCTTTGGCCCTTACTTACGTCCACGACTACGACTGTCATATGTGCTTTGGCCCTTATATGTAACAAAAAAATGGTACTCTGAAGTAACTGCTTTTACTTGCAAACATTATTTTTTAAGTAGTTTTTACTCTAAACGAATGGTAAAAAAAAGTACTAAAATCATTCCATATATATCCCTGATTTATAGGTATTTATAAACTTTACATATTTTTAGTGAAACGCTATCTATAATACTTGTAAATATACAAGGTGGTAGTTAAAGGGATCTTATAGTGAAGGCCGAACTTCCTCGATATTGATAATGTCAACATTTCTAATCCTGTTTTCTATGTTATATATCTATATCTGTCCTTGTCTAACGAGAGGCATCTGTCCTTGTTCGATCGCTGCGCCATCTCTCGCTACACGCAATACTGCTTATCCTATCAACCTGAATGTGCTTTTGCTTAATAAAACTTTATCAGAGAAAATCTTTTTTTCCAGGCGTTGAATCAGTTCTATTTACACAATATTGTTCCTACATGTTGTCCCTACCCCGCCTGGGTGTCATTTTATATATGTATATAAACTGCAGTATTTTTGTTATTGTCGTCAGGTGACAGCTGTATATGCCCAAATTAGTAAAATTTTTAATTTTTTTTCGTTCCCGATATGAAATCGTATGTCGCGGGGTAGATTTTTGTGCGTACTTTAATTCTGTAAAAGAATTTTGCAATTCTGTAAAGCCAATTCAAAGATTTCTTGTAATAAAGAAATGTCGGTAACTACTGCCACTATAGGATCCCCTTAAGTACTCTAAAAAAGATTTTAAAGGGTGATTTTTTTTACAAATTCAAGACGAAAGCTTCATATGACCATATGTCCGAAACGTCTTAGTTTCAAAAACACAGGGTGTCAAAGTTAAAGAAAAAATTGTTATTTCCAAAAATTTCAAATTTGAATAAAAAATAATGTATGGTCCCAAAAGATCAGTTTTTATGTCCTTCAAATACAAAGTTTCATCAAAATAACCCGAGTGGTTTTTCAAAATTTTTGGAAATAACAAAATTTTTCCTTTAACTTTGACACCCTGTATTTTTGAAACTAAGGGCCTAAGCAGAATGGCTGTCTTGGCAGTGTTTTATGCCTTAAGTCTTTGTCTCATGTAATGTACAATGCTGTACAGTATTGTGCATTACATAAGACAAAGACTTAAGGCATAAAACACTGCCAAGACAGCCATTCTGCTTAGGCCCT